TATGGAGATAATAAACAAAGCTATACAGAAGTTGCATTTCTGAAAACAAAGACATGCATTTAAGTATGTGTGCTTGCGTATAAATGTGTATACATTTACATATATAAATGTGTAGATAGATGCATTCTCTCCCACCCTCCTCTGCCCCCGTATCCTCTGCAAATTCCCTTCCTATTTCCCTTTCCTTCGCCCCTTTCTTCCTACCTTCCTTCTTTACCTCCCTCTTCGGAAAGTCGTATAAATAATGCGCTTAAAATGACGCTCTAACTCCTTCAGCGAACTTGCCACGAAGAAGAATGATGATAACAACAATAATGATGACGATGATAATTATAACGATAATAATATTAATATAGGATTCTCATAGATTCGTAATAGGCGCAGGATGCCTAGTCTCCATCAAAATAAAGAAATTTAACGTACGAGGCACAATCAATAGGATGTGCGTATTGTGTCTGTGTGTTTCATTCTTAGTATTTATATTAACAATTAATCATTTTACACCAAAAGGAACTGATTCTAGGATTCTCATAGATTCGTAATAGGCGCAGGATGCCTAGTCTCCATCAAAATAAAGAAATTTAACGTACGAGGCACAAGCAAAATCATATAATATAAAAGAAATACTATAGAAGACATACACAAATTCATCCACATATGGAGAGAAATGGACAAATATAGATTGAGATAAGTAAACAGTGTTTGTATACGTATATATGCATATATATTCTCTCACACTCGCGCTCTCAGAACTGTATTCATGCATGTCTGAATTTTACGTTTCCGCTTCACATCAGTTGCTTCTGTCTCAGATCTTATCACAGGCGCCTCGTGACCACAGGAGAGAAAGACAAAAAAAAATAATAAGAAAAAAGAAAAAGAAAACAATAATAATCATCTACCGAAATGGAAAATTATGACTAGACTTTCACATCTAACCACTTTCTTCATAAAATATCTATTTTTTTATCTCTCAAGTTTCGACATTTTTTTTTTCTGCTTCGCAAGTAAGATGAACAACGAAAGCAAAAAACAAGTGCCTTGTCAGAGCTCAGTGAGTTTGAAATTTTTGACAGGAGAGAAAGTGGAGAAAAAAAGAGAAATCTTGAAATAGAAAGGTAGATTGAAAGAATAAGAGATAGATAGAGATCAGAAGATATATAGGTAAACAGAAAGAAAGATAGACAGACACAGATAATACAATGATAGATTAGTAGACATATATATAGTATATATATATATAGATAGATATAGATAGGATAGATAGACAGAATAGTAGATATAGATTAGTTATGATAGGGATAAGAGAGACAGAGAGATTGACGTAGAAAGAGAGAGAGAGAGAGAGAGAGAGAGAGAGAGAGAGAGAGAGAGAGAGAGAGAGAGAGAGAGAGAGAGAGAGAGAGAGAGAGAGAGAGAGAGAGAATGACAATAATTTTATGATAATGATGTTAAAGAAAAAAAAAAAAAAAAAAAAACAATAGTAATTACAATATCAATTGTGATAGACAGAACTACCGGTAATAGTCTTGAATAAAAATTATTTAAAAAAACAACAACAATAACTGTAAAAGTGATAATAAACGTAATAAAGAAATGGTGGTAATCAATAAGACAATAATAATTATAATTTCAAAATGACAATAGTTATAAAATAATGAAAATAATGGTAATGGTCTAGAATAATAATCAAAATAGCAATAAAATAGTAATGGAAATTATGATTATCATAATAGTGATAATATAAATGACAATAGTAACAATAGTAATAGTGACAATGAAAATGGTTATGATAACAATGACAATAACAACAATAATAATGATAATGACAATGATAACGGTGATAATGATAATGATATTGATGACACTAATAGCAATGATAAGGATAATTATGATAAACCAGTAATGATGATAATAATGACGCCAATGATAACAATAACTAATAATGATTAAAAGGATAGTAATAATAATAATGATGATAATAATACATTAATAATAATGATACTAATAATCATAATAAAATATTAGTAATGATAATAATAATGATAATAATAATGATAATGATAATAGCAATGATGATAATAGTAATTATAATAAATATAATTGAAATGATAATAATAATAATAATAACAATAATGTGTATCTATCTATCTATCGTCCATCTATCTATCTATGTATGTATCTGTATATCTATATATGTATCTGTCTCTCTCTATATATATATCTGTGTGCGTGTGTGTGCGTGTGTTGTGTGTGTGTGTGTGTGTGTGTGTGTGTGTGTGTGTGTGTGTGTGTGTGTGTGTGTGGTGCGTGTGTGTGTGTATGTGTGTGTGTGTGCGTGTGTGTGTGTGTGTGTGTGTGTGTGTGTTGTGTGTGTGTGTGTGTGTTGTGTGTAGTGTGTGGTGTGTGTGTGTGTTGTGTGTTGTGTGTGTGTGTGTGTGTGTGTGTGTGTGTATTTTTGAGCCGTAAACACACACACACACTCATCACACACACACAC